CCCATCTGTCCTCGGGAACAAGGCTGTCCCTCTCTTAGATAAAAAGGTGTTTCTCCCCACACAGTGGCTCTGCCGCTGGTGCCGGGAGAGCGAGCACTAAGCTTAGCGCACATCTGCTATTTTTAAAGGACTACATAAACAAACAGGGCTGTGTAAATAAGAAAAAAAGGAGGTCATCCCTTTAAAATCTAAAAATGTCCCTTTTCTATGGGGCGAGCAGCGAAACCTCAGAAAAGACTGGGGCTTTTTTTTTTTTAATCCCCTTGAGGCCTCCTCCAGCCCAGAGTCACCCCAAGCCACCAGGCCTGGTGGCAGGGGACCAGGGAACTGGGACTCCAGGGTTTCACGCCTGGCTCTGTGAGCTTCGCCTCCACCGCCTCACACCTCTGCCCCTCTCGGCACCACCTCCCCTGACCCTGGTCCCCCTCCGGTCACCTCAGCTGCCCAATGCACAGGTCCTCCAGTGAGGCCCCTGGCTCAGCGTGCTAACTCGCCCTGTCCCCTCTGGGGTCTCTCCCTCTCCCCCGACCCACACTTGGGTCTGCTGCATGGCTGCCCTGGCCCTTGGAGTGGCCATTGGAAGAGACTTCTAGGCTCCTGTTTCCCTGTGCACGGTCTAGGCTTTCCCATTCTCCTCTGTGCCATGTCTTCCAAGTTGAGAGCTGCAAGTCATCCAAGGAACCAGGGAGCTGAGTTTAGGTCTGGCCAATGGTCAGAACACACCCCAAGCCGCAGCAGGAGCTCAAGTCCTCTGTGTTGCCTGAAGCTTTTCTCATTAGAGACCCCTCCCCACCCCTCCCCAAGCTGTCCAGTGAGTCCTGCCAACCACCTGGCCTCTCCTCTCCCCTCTGCCATCTCTCCCTCTCTCCTCCTCTGCTGTGGTGGTGGTGGGGCGGGGGGACTCTCGTACACTGTAGATGGAAACATAAAGTAATACAACCACCATGGAAATCCCAATGGAGGTTCCTCAAAAGACCAGGAAGGGAACCACCCATGATCCAGCTGTTCAACTCCTTGGGATTCATGCAGAAGAACTCAAGTCAGCACACTCTACCAATATCTGCATCCCATGTGCACAGCAGAGCAATTCACGATAGCCACGCACGCTATGGACTCAGCCTGGGTGCCCATCAACGGAAAGAAAATGTAGTATTTATACACTATGGGGTTTTATTCAGCCCTAAAGAAAAGGAAATTACATCGTTTGCAGGAGAGTGGATGGGACGAGAGGGCAGCATATTAAGCCAAAGAAATCAGCCTCAGAAAGTCGAGGGTCATACGTTTTGAGAGAGGAAGGGAAGGGAAGGGGGGGACACTGAGGAATGAAATTAATCAAATTACATTACAAATAGGCCACAATGAATCCCACTATTATGTGTGATTATTATGCACCAATAAAAAATTTAAGAAGTCTTCATTAAAAAAAACAACCCCCAATATTTGTTGGAAGGGAAATTTTTAAATTGTGTTCCATGGAGCTATTTCAGAAGTTCTTCAGTTGATACATGAGAATTTTATCCTAAAAATATAGTCTGACTCCTATTAACACGGTAACAGAAGACGGACCTGCGCATCCAAACGTGTTCCGTGGCCCGCTGTAGCCCACTGCGTGCAGCCAGCCAACGGATGCTGCCGGAGTAAGGGCAGACCCTGCGCTAAGGTCTGGGTAGACCTTGAACTTCAGTGTTGAAATGGGTCTTCAGCCAGATAAATTGGGTTTCAGCTCTTTACTGGGCATCTTTGTGCTGTTGAAATTCAGGACTACGTCTACTTGCATAAAAACACACAAGCAAGAATACCCTGAAGCATTCAATGATAAGAGAATGTATTTCAAGGATTCTCACACAGGTGTCATAGATGATTCTGGGGCTTCCTGTCTGCTTTCTGTTTGTAATAAGAAGGGGTTCAAGCAACTGTTGGAGACAGTGGTGCACACCAGAACTCTCTTCTACCCCTCCCTGGATACCTGGATAATGTGGAGCTGAAGATCACCTTGTAGCTAAAAGGTATGCTGTTGAAAATTCACAGTGGTATTGATGCAATTTGGAATTCCTTAATACTGTGTAGCCAAGCCAAGCAAAACAAGAGAGAGAAGAGGAACACTGGATGTTGTGGCTGGTAGAGTAATACAATGGTTATCTAGGACACAGGTCAGCAAATTTTATCTGTAAAAGGCCAAATAGTAAGTAGTTCTTGCTACAAGGGGCAGACAATCTCAAGCAGCCGTGGATAACATGTAAATGAATGTGTTCCAATAAAACTTTATTTACAAAATCAGGTGGCAGTCTCGATTTGGTCCACAAAAGAAGTTTGTGGATTCCTGATTTAGAATTTCATATTTCCATGTTTTTATGCATCAGTGTTATTATTCCATGAATATAGTCATAATAAATACATGCTAAAGACTTGAACTTAAAGAATAGATGAATATTAATACTCTGCCACAATAACTTGTTCTATACATTGACATTCCAGGCAAGATCTGACTTTTAAAAATGGCTTCTCAGACAACAAAAGCTTGAAGACTACTAGCAGAGATGTTGGCTACTAAGAAAAATGCTTCCATGTCTATTTTTGAATTATCTTTGTCCTCTAGTCACTCAATCAGAAGTCACATTTATTCTGGAGAAAGCCCCAGTTCAGGTACCTTTTGAAGAGGGGCAGTGTCCCCATGTCCTCCTGCCCTCGGTTGACAGGGAACACAGCGGTCCCCAGGCCTTGGGTGGTGATGATGGATCTCTCCCTTCCCAGTAGTACACCTGCTGACCTGGGCCAGCACCCTGCACCTCCACAGACGGGCCAGTGGGCAGCCATAGCCCATGATCACCTGGGTCCCCCAGCAGTACTGAGTCAGCACCCCATTAATCATGGCTGCTTCCTTCCCCGGGGAGAGCACGGGAAGGAGTGGGGGTCAGATTTCTAGCTGGAACTGACGGCTCATTTCCTGCTCCTCCACAGATGCCCCCTGCAGCTGGCAGAGCCCAAGTAGACAAACCAGAGTTGGGGTGAAGTAAGGGAGAGGAAGTGCCTGGTCCTGGGAGGATCCCTGGGGGCAGTTCCCCCAGAGCTCTGCCTGCATCCCTCCAAGGATGCTGCTGAGGAGTAATGCAGACCCTGCCCTGAGACTGCCAGGAGAGGAGCCCACGGAGTCTACTGTGATGGACACAGAAGGAGACAAACAAATTGAAGTACAAGGAAAGGAAAAGTACAAGATGCCAAGGGACCATTCATTAAGGGGCTATTCCTACTAAAATGTAGATATGACTAGGGGAGGGCAATCTTTGAATTACTGCTGCCTTTCTTCAGGAAGAATCTGGTGGAGGAAAAAAGTATTGGGTCTTATGTAGCCAGAGGTACTGCTCCTTGTAGCTGTGTGACTGTCTTTCAATTACTGATCATCTCTGTGCTGTTTCTTAATCTGTACACAAGGAACAACAGGACCCACCTCCCTAGGTTCTCTGCAGGACTCAGACTCATCTGTAAAGTGCCAGGCCCTATGGGCAGCAAGGGATGATCCCTCAACTTCACCTGCCCTGGGACCATGTGGTAGAGCAAAGCAGATGTGTCACAGGGAGAGTAGTGGCCTGCCTGTCTGCACCAGTGGTAGACGGTGGTGGGAAAGTGGGGAGTCCTTGCTACGTTGTCTGGCCCTGTCCCATGGACCTTACCTGCACGTCGCCCCTGCGGTCACTGCCACTGCCACTGCTAGCCTCACTTTGTAAGTAAGAAGGCTGAGACACAAAGAGGAGCACCTTGCACCAATAAATACTGTACAAACTGTCAGAGCTGGGATTTGAACTTGCAGAGAGGCTGTATTATCAAGCACCAAAATGGGGCTCAAATGCCCAATTCTTCCTAGGGATCCAGGGGAAGCTTGCTCTCTACCTCTGTGGGAGAACTCTGGTCAAGGCCTGGGTCTGCTGGGCCCAGGTGTGCTGCAGAGGAGTGGGCAGAAGCCCAGGCCCTGGTCCTACTCCACAGTCCACGCAGCCACACAGATGCCACCTCTGAGGAACCTGAGGCCCTGGCCCCTATGCGTAGTGAGAAGATTTCTGCTCTCAAGGGACAGGATGAGTCACCGTTCACAGCCAGTCAGGTTGGGAAATTCCCCTTGGACCGCACAGCTATGCCCACAGACCCAAGCATAAGACAGGAGGGACATCTCCAGAGCCTCTGGAAGAATCTCCAAGTCCCCAACTTTAGCTACACGAGAATCCAAAGACCGATTCTTGCAGCCCAAGCCCCTGAGGTCTGAGGGTATGGGTGTCTGGGGGATTCACTCTGCCTTCTTTTCTTCTTTTTTTTAAAAAATTAGTTCCCCAGGTAATTCTAATGCACTCCATACCAAACACCCAAGGACTTGATCCTGACCCCAAAAGCTTTTTAATACCATACACCTAACCAGAACCACGGCCTGACCACACCACCTATCTGAGGCACTAAATATGTATATTTAACTATATATATTCCCAGGCCAATCCAATTTGGATCTTTGGAGCTGGGGCCCTGGTACTGGAATTTCTGGAACTCTCCATGTGATGTTGACACATGGCTAGGATGGAGGACCACTACTAACGACCTTCCAATTCTTCCAACAGTGGGGTCTGGGGAGCCGATCTCCTGCCTTCAGGGGGCAGGGGATACTGACCTCCTCTGACGGGCAGTGGGTGGGTGGGGGAGGGCAGGAGAGGAAGAGGCTCTGGAAAGCAGGTGTTGGATCCTCGAGAGACTTTGTTGTGTCCAGGCACAGGACGGAGACTGTTGAACTGGGGGCATCAGGACAGCAGTTTGGGGAGACAGCATGGGGAAGTGGCAGGGGTGGCACCCGAGGGCTCACCCTCTTGAGCAAGCAGTTCTGAAAGCTCCCAGAGCTCCCCAGAGGCATAAGGGAGGCAATGATAATCACAGCAGTCACAACGCATTTTAAGAAGAATGAAAGCAAGCTCACGCTTCATCAAAATGGCGCCCAGCAAGCACATCCAGGCGTTGCTGTCTCCTACCTGTGCTGAAGGCACCACTTCCGGTGACCAAAACTAAAACGCTGTTCTCTTTGGAAACCAGCATTCATGTCCACGCTGCTGCGGCCTCCTCTTACGCACCACTCTGCCCTCTGGAGGGGAGAGCTTGCCTGGCCAGGGTCTCTTGAGGCTGCTCCATGAACTACTTCCAGGCTGCTGGGTTTGTGTCTCGAATCCTGTAGGAGGTGGTTGAAAGCCATGGTCAAAGAGTTTTCTTGGTCAACTTCTTTAGACACAGAACAATAATTTCTGCCTGGTCCCAGGAGACCCAAGTCCCCAACTCCTCCCAAGCTGCTCTTCTTGGTGCAGGGCCTGACCCCCGTGTTTGGTGTCGTGGCTCTGGAAACCCACCATCTGCTACCTGTACCCAACACTGAATTTCTCTGAGCCTTATTCTTTGCCTGTATTTTGGGTGGGAACTTCACAAGTTCAGTTCTGCATACACCCCAGGATCGTAATGCTTAGGTTCTGTTCTAGGGCACAGTAGATCTTCAAATGGGGAGATGATCTAAGCCTGAGCTAAGCAGGAAAGCCCGTTAAAAGAAGAGTCTTTTCTGACTAGTTAAGAAGAGAAAACCAGAGAGACTAGAATCATTAGGATTCAATGTGCCCTTGCTGATTTGAAGATAAAGGGGCCATAGAGGAATGACCTGGAAGCAGCTTCTGGAAGCAGAGTGCCACCACCCCACTAACAACTAGCAGCCGCAGTACCTCAGTCCTACAACCACAGGGATCTGAGTTATGCCAACAATAGGAATGAGCTTGGAAAAGCAGTCGCTTCTCCAGAGCCTCCAGATGAGACCCTAGCCCATGGAGACCTCCATGTCAGCCCTGAGCAGAGTCCAGCCCTTCTGTACAGACTCCTGACCTAGAAACTGAGCCAATGAATGCATCTGGTGGGAAGCCACTAAATTAGAGGTCATTGGTTACACAGCAAGAACACTAACCTGGCCCACGAAACTGACTCGAATTTGGGCATGGGTGAGGATTAGCTAGAATCATGGATGCAAGAGCACATTGTATTCCTCGAGTCACCAAACGAAACAGAATGTTCAGGACCAGCAGAAGCCTGAGTCAGGGGAGGAGCTCAATGATTACTGAATAAACAAGCCTAGGCGTGAGCATCACATTTCAATAATCAACCTAGCAGGCTATTTTAAGGACCAAGTGAGAAAATTCAGAAGAACGTGCTTCCTAAAGCTGGAATTGTTTTGGTCGACTATGGCATGGCATGTCCCCTCTGTGCTGTGCTCTTTGGGCTCTGCTCACTGTGTCTGCTCTAGGCAGTGTGGCATGATGGCTGGAATGTGGTTTCTAGGGCCAGGATACCTGGGTTCAAGTCCCAGTCCTTCTACCTACGACCTCTCCAACTTTGGTAAGTTGCTGTGCCTGAAAAGGAGGCTAAGATGAACAGGTGCCTCCCAGGGTTTTAATGACCTCACGTAAATGACCCAGAACAATGCCTGGCCCTTGAGACACCCTGCACGATTGCCATGCGCGCTTTGTCCCAGAGTGGCACTCAACCCTCTGGGCCTGGAGTAACCTGCACACAGGCCTGGGATATTGTCCCCTTGGGCACAAGCTTTGCATTAACCTAGTCTTCAAATAGTTAGTGCTTGGCAACCACTTTTCACTATTGATTCCTACAGGATATACAGGTCACCCAAGTCCCTCTGCTGTCCCCTCCCCTCCATACCTGCCGTTACTAAATCCTGCCAGTCCTGCCCCAGGCCCAAGGGTAGCAGGGCGCCACCTCACAGGGGTGAGGCTGGACTTGCTTCCTGGCTCCCATCTATCGTTTCCTGAGTCTGGCAGCCCCTCACCCAAACTTCACAACTCCACGGTTTTCCATCATTTCCGAGTGTGACCTTATGCCCTCTAATAGGTTGCAATTATTAATAAAATGTTCTATTTCTCCCACTGATTTCTCAGAACACACTGTTCCACAAACAATCCACCATTTCCTACCTCTGAGTCTTTTGCTCAGGCAATTTCTTCTTCCCAGAATGTACTCCCTTCCCCCACAACCATGTCTACCTGACCAAATCGTGCCCCTCCTCCCTCACATGGCTCAACCAGCTCCCACAAAACTGGACGTGAGTCCTGCCTTCCAGCACACACAAAGCACATTTGTTGTGGCTCTCTTAAGGTAAATAATGGCGTTCAGTATGTGCAGAGACAACCTGGAAGCCCTTTTAGAATTAACAAAGCTCAGGCAGGGGCAGTGTGACTCTATCCCTGACCCCTAACAGGTGTTTAACACACAGCAACTGTATAGGGTCTCTTTAGACCCCAATACAGCACATTTAACAGATGTGCATTCAGTGCCGAAGCTGGTTCCGGTGGGTGGTAGGTACCAAAGATAAAAGACAGCCTTGGTTTAGTCCCTTAAGGGGATCCTAGAGAAGCAGTTGATTCTAATAGTGTCTGAATGTGTGAAATAGGGAGAGAGAGAGAGAAAGAGAGAGGGAAGGAGGATATTTCAAACAGAGAATCCCCTAAGTGACTGGAATGTTGGAGAAATTGCCTGATGTCCCAGCGCCTGGAGGGAAGGGTGGCCACAGCTGCTGAGGGAGGAGTCAGCAGGGGCCAGAGCCCAAGCTTTACTGGAGGAGGAGCCGGACTTGGTCTTACCCGTGGAGTGAGGTCATGGGATCATTTTAACCAATGAGGTCATGTGGTGGGGATGAGGGGTGTGTCTCTAGAGGGGATGGGAGGGGGTGGAAGCTGGGAGACTTCTTTCTGCAGGAGCCCTGGGAGTGAGGCCAGCATCACTGGTCACTGACTGGTCCCCTTCTTAGCAACCGGTCAGAGAGCTGCCCAGCCATACCAGTATCCAGGCTACCTGCAAATGCCATACACATTGAGGTTCTAGATGGCCAACTAAGTCCATCCGTCTACCTCGACATAAAAAGAGAAATATGCAAATCAGAAGAGATCAGTAGTAGCACCAGCTGGCCAGGAAGCCTGAGGAGTGGGAGTGTCATGGGAGCCACGCTGGCCTCACCTGGGTAGCCTGGGCAGGGAGACACACTCAGAGGCAGGGGACTGGAATCCCAGGATACCAGAATGCGCTAGGCTTCCAAAGAGACCCGTATGGAGAGGAGGAAGTCCTGGGGAACAGAGAATTCCTCCCTGCAACTTTTGTGACCTTCAGTTCCGTGGCTTTACTATTCTGGGAGCCGCTGGCCGGGCAGATGGCTTGTCCGTTCATTACAGCAATTCCTGAAGGATCTACCCACTCTTCATCAACACTCTGTGTCCAGAAATTCTTTGAATCCCTTGCCTCAAACTCCTCGCCTCTCTGGTTCCCTTCTTCTCGGACGACAGTGCTCCAGGCCTTACACAGCCTCCTCGGGCTCCCACACTGACATCTTCATCTAAAGGAAGCCTCCAGTCCTTGGTGGACACACCTTGCCTCCCCCATCCACATGTGCCTGGGCTCTGTGGAGTGGCACTCTCCCCTCCCAGGCAAGTGGCGAACTCAGCCTGGATGCTATCAGGAGAGCTGGCGTCCAACAATCCCTACAAAAGATGTTGAGAACCAGGCAACGTGGGACTGATGCCGCCTCACGGATGGCTAGAGTGAGACGGGGCCAAGATGTCAGATCTTGAGGGAAAAGGGTTAAAACCCTGAGATCTCAAAGTGAAAGACAGAAGGGCTAAAATAGGATGCCACCCACTTACCTAGTCTCAAAGAAGTTACTCGAGGAATTACTCCAACAAAATAAAAACGATACCAGAATAAGTCATCCGAGAAAGGGCAAGAAGGCCTGCCCAAGAAACAGGGATGATAAAAGCAGAACAAGTACAGCTATAGCTACACAGACATCCTTAAGGCTGGGCTCATCTTACTGGGAATTAGATACCACTGAACTCTTAACATGAATAGAGAAATATCTTTAACTTAAGGACAAACATTTCTAGAAGAAAAATAAAATACAGACCTTTTAAGCCACAGTATGTATGGGAGAAGGGAGGAACAAACAAAATCCAATTAATTTAGCAAGAGTTAGGGAAGGAAAAATTAAATAGGAGAAAAAAAGTACAATAAGTTAGAGACCTAAGATGACAAGAGTATGACCAAACCTATTAATCAATTTAATAACATGAATAAATTCAATTATCTTATTGGGTAAAAAATAAAGAAATCTAGCCATATGCTAGATTTGCAAGTAATAAACATAAAACCAATTGATGAAGAAAGGTTGAAATCAAAGAAATGGAAAAAAATACTTAACCGGCAAAATGATAACAAAAAGAATTTAGGGAAGTCAATATGAATCTCAACCAAAATGCAAAAATATTAAATAAAGTGGGACACTTTATATTGCTCAAGGGCCTACAGGAAGACACAAAAATCATGAAACTTTAACTCGGTCTGAGCAACAGGACCACAAAATAGATGAAACAATACATTCTTAAAACCACAAGGAGTAAAGGTAGAAAATAAAGA